TGGAGTAAATGGGCGCCATCATCAGAACGTGCAACACTGCTGACCATTAGTGTTGCAGGATGTACAATTGGTAGCGTTGCTACGATGCCGATCACAGGATTATTAACCATGACGGGCTATGATGGTGGATGGCCATTGGTCTTTTATTGTTTTGGTAGAGATTATATTACCTACAGTATTATGTTAATATTACTATTAGTATATGTAATAGGACTCCATGCTTCTTAATTGGACGAGGAAAATTCTGAGGACTGACAAAATTGGATGAGGTCGTAGGCTGAGTCCAATTTGGCAGTTAGAGGAATTTTTCGAGTCTAATTATTTCTTGATTGGGGAGCATGAAATCCCATCACCTATTAATTATATAGCTGCCTAATTAATCCCATATCAACAAGACCTGTCCAATTAAGAAAATAATTGGACAATTACCTATATGGGATTAATGAGAAGCTGTATAATTACTAGTATTATTTCTACTGACTACTTTAAATTAGACAATCACTTACGCGCGTTTATTCAAAATTACTTTCATTGGTTTTAGAAGTTTGYGGCTTCATCTTCAGGTATTACTAGACATCGCGTGTTATGAATTATATTGGATTGTACATGTGTTACGGTTATCGAATAGTTCRGACATTGTTCTTGGATTCCGTTACAAATCGACTGTTTTTTGGACAAATAATTTAGTTGATTTGTTTAATTAGCTTCCTAAATACAAGCAAAATATCATTTTTCTAACTTGATTGAAGCTTTTCTTACTGCTATATTTAAGCAAAAGTGTCRTCAATGTGATGAATGTCAGGGCACGGCTAACTCACATGCAGCAGATTGAATTATAATTTAGCATGCAGGGCTAAACGATGGGAGATCAAGACTGAGTCCACTTCACAGTCGCGGTAAATAACCATATTTTATTATTGGCTCTCCTTTAGGTCTGTCAGGAATGCTCTGGTATACATTATGGTTATTTTTGGTATACGAGACGCCAAGTGAACACCCAACGATCTCGGTAAAAGAAAAAGAATACATCGAACAGACTGCAGTCAGCGGAGAGGAGGTGTGTGGGTAGCCTGTGTTATATGACCTTATATAGTGAGTTCAGTCGGTGTATATCACGTGCACACTAAATGGCTGATTCCATYGTAAATTGCCGCTGACAACCGCACGTTCGGATCACGTGATACCAGTACGAAGGGCGCCTTTGTAAATAGAGGCTTTGCACCATCACGTGACGGCAGCCATGGACAGGAGGCAGGAACGCTTGAATCCGGTTCAATCTGATTTACATGAGAAACAATTCAGTAAATCAGAAGAAAGGGACTATTTATGATTGTTGTGCCTCCTGTCATGGCTGCCATCACTTTACCACCATGCCAATAAACAGCATTAGGTTATACTGATAATGATTTGTTAGTCTACAGTATGAACAGTTATGCCATACCAGTATTAATCCTGCAGTACCCCATGTCTGATATTCCATTCGTTATTTTTTCAGTCAAAAGGCGAAATACCATGGAGAAAGCTTCTGACATCACATCGAGTATGGGCCATAACTGCTGCTGCTTTCGCTGCTGACTGGGGATTATACGTGCTTCTGATCTGCATGCCGTTATACTTACTTGACATCGTACACTTTGACTTACAACAGGTACGTTATACTTGTATCACGTGATCCACTTCGAGGCCAGGTCACTAATTTGTCAAACCRTTGATTCTTAGATGGGTTTCGTGGCAGCCGTACCGTTCCTGTTCAAAAGCTTCTCATGTCCTTTTGGTGGCTTCTTATCGGACTTTCTGTTGCGTCGTGGATTTTTGAGTATATTAGGTGCAAGGAGATTGTTCTTTACTTTAGGTAAGAATAAAACCAATGATTATTCCCAATGAGCATTGAATGGGCTCAGCTTGGCTTAACGTTGTCCCATTTCAGACCACATGACTATTCCCTTGAGTATTGTATAAGCAATAGATTCATTCAGCTTCGTTCAATGTTGTTATATTTCAGACCATATGACCATTCCCTTCTTGAGCACTGTATTAGCAATAGATTCATTCAGCTTCGTTCAATGCTATTATATTTCAGACCATATGACCATTACCTTGAGCATTGTATAAGCAGCAATAGACCCATTCAGCATGGCTCAATATTGTACTATTTCAATCCCCCATTCTAAGTGTCTCCGATTAAATATTTTTGATCCTACTTAGGTGCCACTACTTGTATTTACCTCCTACTCGCCGGCTATACTAAAGACTCTACTCTGATAGTATTTTACATCGCCCTGGCTGGTTTCGCATCGGGCCTGACGTATGCAGGTTTCCATGTCAACATGCTAGACATCGCTCCACGTAATGCCTCAATTATCATGGGTTTATGTAACACTGTTGGTGGAACTACAGGATTCATCACACCAATGATGGTGGGATTCCTTACTAGAGGRAAGGTTCGTCCGCCTTATATATAATTATTGCACCCTCGCTAAATTRTCGAATACGTGTTGTCAATATTGCGCGCGCTCGGTGAACTGTCGAATACGTGTTGTTAATACTGCGCACGCTCGGTGAAATGTCGAATACGTGTTGTCAATACTGCGCACGCTCGGTGAACAGTCGGAACTATGTTTTACAGACTGCGCACGCTCGTTGAGCTGTTGGAGCCATATTGATTYAATCTCGTACCCAGAGSCTTCGTTTCTTCTGGCCTGCGGCGAAGAACTAGGGCTCTGGCATAATCCATATTTTGGCGCRTGCGCAATTTTCGGAAAGTGAGATATAAACGATCAAAATAAGCGAAGTAAAAATTAAATCGAACTCAAAATCAAATTAAAAATTATAGCACGAATTAAAAATTGGGGRRAAAAATATTTTTAATTTTTGGCAAGTATTTGAACGCATGCGCTGTTATACCGGAAGTCCAAGAAATCCTGGTCTCAAAAAGTAGATTATGCCAGAACCCTCGTTCTTCGCCGCAGGCCAGAAGAAACGCAGGCTCTGGGTACGAGATTGATATTGATTATACTGCGCACTCTCGGTAAAACGTCGGAACCTTGTGTCAATACTGCGCACGCTCGGTGAACTGAAAGAACCATACTGCGCACTCTCATTAAACTTCGGAATCGTGTTATTCATACTGTGCAATCTCGGTAAATTTACAAAACCATGTTTTAATACTGCGCATGTTCGGCGAGTTGTCGGAACCATGCTTTTTATTCTGCGCTCGCTCGTCAAACCGAAGAAACCATGCGAGAGTTATTTTACATTTCATATAAGTATCCCTGAAATCATTAGCTTCTCTGAACTAATACTACTGATAATTACTGAAAGTGAAACTAAGCTTTTTCTAACGTTTTATAAATTATCTTATCCCGTTATATTTCTCTTGGATTCCAGACGGCGCAAGAATGGAAGACAGTGTTTTGGATAACACTGATGATCTACATTTGTTGCACGAGTCTATTTTGTATATTTATAACAGATAAGCGACAGGAATGGGATAAACCCAGCTACGAAGTGATTCCAGAACTATCGCTCTCTATTGTAGAACTAGACCATGAAGATTCGCTAGAGAAGAAGAACGAAAATGAAAAAATCGGAGATCCAGGTCAAGAAGACTCTGTGGAAAATAACGGTGAAAAGGATAAAAACGAATAACAAGCACACATGTGGACGCTCACCGATAAACTAATCGTAATACCTTGMTTTCCTGGAAATGGAAGACTGAACTTCATGTGTGTAAAAAGATAAAAATTAATATTCTAATTTCATTTTTAAAAATATAATTTTTGTGAAAAGTTATATATTTTTTATATACAAGAATACGTAGAGGTTGTGGTGTAATACCACGAGCTGTCTGTGYTTGTAACATACGCTCTTGCGCAAGTTGTGTGTGTGTGTTTTTTTTTGGTTAACGGCAATCTTTTTTTAACAAGAAATTCAGGTTGTGTGTATGTAGTATTAATGTCATGTTGTTATTTATGTGTACACTGAATATCTGACATGTTATTGTAAAGAAAAGTGTCAACAAATACGGACAAAGAAAACATATTAAGTATTATTTAAAAAGGCTGACAAGCACAAGAACCAACAGAGGTTGGCTTTCATTGTCAATAAACAAGTCATAGCACAGCTAAGAGTGATGTGTGGCTGGGAAGTCCAGGTCTAYATATCTAACCCTGATCTGACACAAAAAATACAGCGCTGACTTAGTTTTTGCATAGAAGGATTATAGAACTGTACGCTTTAAAAAAGTACAAGTTTTTTCAGTTTGCTTTTGTATAAATTTATTGAATAAATAAACATTGCGAACGTACTTTGCCTGCTGCTTGCTTGATTTGACTGTTAGTTAATTACGTAAACAATTCCCCCTCCCACCCCTCCCCCACTAGAAATTCATTTTTTAAAACGATTAATATTTAGCACAATTTTTAGCTTGTTCTTTAGATTTATCGTTACCCTCTAATTTAAGTCATTTTAAAATTGAAAACAAATTATTAATATTTTTTAAAAGTTTCACCAATGTAGGCACGGATGAGCACGGGTTTCATGTTTTGGCAGGATCACGTGATAAGTATTTACAGCTGAATGCTATTGTGTTACTCTCCTCCAAATAAGAATACAATTCGTCCTTAAATTACTTTTAAAACTGCTGCAAAGTTATGAAYTTCGCCGCTGCTGGACTCCTAAGTCTCACTGGTAAGTCATATTCAGCTTAGTTCGCTGTATTTTTTTTTATCAAGAAGCTCTATAAATGAGCTTATCCTAAGATTCGTGTGTTGAAGATGATAGTTGACTTCACGACCACTCAACACCGTTTAATATGCARAATTTTAATCGTATCTTTTGTACTCTAACTTTACGTTTTCTTGTAAAATTATGACAGTGTTTGCTTAGATATTCATTTTAGATTTATCTGTTTGGTTTTAGTTTAGATTTCATTAAGTTTATGTACGAAATACAATACAAAAACAAKAGATAATTATATAATGAAGTAAGCCATGCATTATTGAGAAGGGTTTAATACCTATTATATAACATATTAGAGTATTGGTTAAATCAATTAAATCAATGATTAATGAAGAAGCAAAAAAAAAACTTCCTTCCTTGTGGCATGAGATCAGTTATCTTTTTAGCATCCATGTTGCAGTACCTCAGATATATTATCCAGATATTATATAGTTATATACTATNCAATGATTAATGAAGAAGCAAAAAAAAAAAGCTTCCTTCCTTGTGGCATGAGATTAGTTATCTTTTTAGGATCCAAATCACTGAATTTGTGAAAGTTTAATGTTTCAAATTGAGTTGCACTACCTCAGATATATTATCCAGATATTATATAGTTATATACTATAGTTTCATTGAAATAAATATTAATAAATGAAAACACAATAGAAATAATAGCTCCATAACTTTCATTGCATGGAWATAACATCAAATCTTTGGTTAAATTGAAGTCAATCTTCAAAATGTTTATAGTARAACATATCAGAGTTAATAGAGGAGAACCCTCTTTTAACTCTGAACACATATAATATATGTTTTGTAATATATAMAGTATGAGTGGCCGTGTTGTATCGGATATATRACCAYGAGGCRTAGCCGAGAKTTTGTATATYTGATACAACAYGGACACGAATACTGTATATTACTTATCAAAAGTCTAGGTTAGTTCCTTTGTGTTTCGCTAAAATTTTCAAAATTAAAGTGAATTTGGCCAAGAAAATCCAACTTCAAGTTTATGCAAATGAACACAGTTTTGTATCAGATTTACGACACTCTTCACGGTCGTGATTTCTGTTGTGTTTTCCTCATGAAYTATTAATGAGTTTGATAAATGATGTTTAATATAAAGCCTTTTCACTCACATGAGAAGGCAGCCATGCATATTGGTGTACCAAACAATAGAAACTTTCTGCACAGTTTTTGCATAAAAAATAGAGTTCTATYCCCAGAGGATACAAAATGTATTGTTTTGGTATGCCAATATGGCCACTGTGATGTCATGGGAAAATGCTTTATACATCTACACTAGGTTAAATAAGTAGTTTATAATGTTGACATATGTGATATAAATCTGATACGACACGACTGCTCATATTGTTAACAATACTTAAATATTTCTATGTAATTTCACCAAAAAATGATTGTGTAGTTCTAGAAATTATCAACAACCCCCCCCCCCCCCCACAGAGGAATTTTTGTAAATACCCCCTTCCCCCTCCACCCCCAAAATTCTAATTTTCTTCCATACAAACTCTGTAATGTTTTTCTTTCTCTGACCCCTCACCCCTTGGGAATTCCACTTCCTCTGTGAGGGAGGGAGGAGGGGGTATGGATAATTTCTGGAACTACGCATTCCAATTTAGTAAAGCAACTAATATTTTGTATTCTCAATGGCTATCAATTGAAGTCAATCTATAGTGTATAGACACCTTGTCCTTTCTCTCTTCATCAGTGCTCCAAAGCACTCATGGTATATCACTTTATAGTACTTTAATTGCATTCCAAAACACTCATGGTATATCACTTTATAGTACTTTAACGCCAGTCCAAAGCACTCATGGTAAATCACTTTATCATACTTTAATGCCAGTCCAAAGCACTCATGGTAAATCACTTTATCATACTTTAATGCCANTTTAATGCCAGTCCAAAGCACTCATGGTAAATCACTTTATCATACTTTAATGCCAGTCCAAAGCACTCATGGTAAATCACTTTATCATACTTTAACGCCAGTCCAAAGTACACATGGTAAATCACTTTATCATACTTTAACGCCAGTCCAAAGTACACATGGTAAACCAGGCTCTATGGTACAATATACTTTAACGCCAGTTTTTGCAACATATGCCATGATTATAGCTTTTTGGTAATAGAGTAATACAGCTTCAAGTACCAAAGAAGGATATTGTCTTAGGATGTGCCTTATTTACAGTAGCCTGTAGGCAGTATACCCTATAATACAGAACAATAGCAACAGAATACAGCAACATGTCCACCAAAATGTTAGACAACTAATAGTTATAGTGATGTGTGTGGCAGAATATTATGCCCCTGACAAGCAATGGAAGAAAGAGGGGAGGCGTGAGGGAGTTTTTGAGATGACAAACCATGAGGGGAGGGGTGGTGGATTGTAAGAAGAAGACATCTTTAAAAGCCATATTTTTACACTAATATTGTATTTTGTCAGGTGTGTTGGTATGCCTGCTTCCAGGCTCAGCYAGAGAACTCAAGGCAACTGTCAGCATGTCTAAGATCAAAGGAACTGTTACCTTTACACAGACATCTGACCCCTTAGCCGAAACAACAATGAAACTAGACCTGGACGGTTTGACGGAACTACTTAACTTACGTGTCCATGAAATACCGATGATCTATCAAGGAGGTGCAAGCTCAAGTTGTAATTTAAATGCTGTTGGACAAATATTTGATCCTACTAGTTGGAACACAACGTCTGCCTGTACAAATATGAACCAACAAAACTGCGCTGTTGGAGACTTGACCGGAAAATCTGTAGCATTTGAAGCAGCAAACTCAAAATCGTCCTTCAAATACCAAAATCTTCCTCTAAGTGGTAAAAACAGCATCTATGGTCGAACACTGCTCTTTACAACCACATCCCATGTTCCTAAAGCGTGTGCGATTATCACTAGCACCGAGCAAGCTTTTTATGCTGTAGCTTATTTCAAAGGTCCTGTCGCTGGAACGGTGCATTTCAAAGAGGAAGGTTCAATGATCAATACCTTGGTCACTGTCAATTTATTTTATGTTAGTGACGCCACGATCTCGCAGAAATATTTCTTGAAACTCCACGTTAATCGTGTAGGCRAGAGAATGACTTCTGACCAATGTGCAAACGCGGGAGCAGTTTTAAACCCGGACTTACAGACTGAATTAGGTGTATTCAACGTTAAAGAAGCTACATCTGGACGCTCAAGTACCCAAATAGCCGTGAATGTCGCCAATCTAGCTGTTAATGGTGCTAATACAGTAATCGGTCACTCCCTACTGTTGTATTCTGTCGACAACCCAAGCAAACCAATAGCCTGTACAAATATTTTAAAGTTATTGCCAAAGAAAGCCAAAGCTGTTTTTACGCGTGAAGATACAGATGGTGTAACTGGCACGTTTGAGTTCTCGCAGACTTCTCCTTTCGATCCCACGAATGTTAAGATTAATATCAACAAGCTAGGTAACAAAGCAGAAGGCTACCACGTCCATGAATATCCGAACCCCAGTTACAAGGGCATTACTGATAATGCACAAGCGTGTAGTAGTGCAAATGCTGGAGATCATCTCAATCCTTATGGGGTCGTTGCAAGTTCTAGCCCYGCTTCAGGTGAGTACACTTATTATTTGCCTTGAATTGGGAGCTAGAGTTGAAAGGCTCCCCTATATCTCAGAGTGGTATCAGTATAAATAAAAATCGAAAATGAAACTTCAAAACGCACTGATTCAAGAGGCTTTGCACCATCACGTGTTGGCAGCCATGACAGGAGGCAGGAACAATTGAAACTGCTTTACATGAGAATGAATTCAACTCTCTCCTAATTTTATTGATTCCCTCCCCACTCGTGCAAGAAGGATCAACGTACACCTTCGTTATTGTTTGTCGTGTGCTAATTGACAAAACGCGAAAAAATTCAGTTTCCCAGGGGGGAAAGACTGTATTGTTGTGCCTCGTGTCATGGCTGCMATCACGTGATGGTGCAAAGTCTCTATAGAGCGTGTAGTGGTTACAGAACTTCACCACGAAGAGGTCAATTTCGATTCATTATGATTTTTAAAATTCCTCAGATTTTTTCCCCGTCTTCATTTTACTCCGATGAAGGACCAACGTCAATATTGTTAAAAAACTTTTTTTTACACGATGGTTTCCTTCTAATTCACACTGTATCCAACACACCCATGCTGTCGAAATTGTAACCRCTAGTTTTTATCTGTTCATCTGTTCATCTTTTTATATTTTCTTTTACGTTCATATACATTCGTTTTATATACAAGTTTTTTTTCTGTTTCATTTTTCTTTGATCTCGTTTCTTTTTGTCGTATTTCAAGTGTTTCGTTTCGTTTGATTTTGATTTTTTGCTTCGTTGGTTTGTGTTGTTTATTTTGGTTCATTTGCTTTATGTATATAAAGTTAGTGTATGCCTTTTTCATTTATTTTGCTTTGTTAGTTTTGTTGTGGAATACGACATGAAAGGTCAGTTTTCACATATCAAGATCTGTTATTTTTTCAAGGTACGTTTGATGAGTACGAAATCGGTGATCTATCTGCAAAATACGGCACATTCTTGAACAAAAATGATCATGATGGCAGCTACACTGATTATAATCTGCCCTTGTTCGGTAATAACAGCATAGTGGGTCGCTCAATTGTCATTCACAAGCTTAAGAAAGACGGTAATAAGAGGTGGGTATGCAGGAATATCGATCTGGACTTGGATGATGTTGTAAAGATGGAAACACGGAGCCACTTTACTGGGCCTGACATTCTAGGAGATATAGTTATGGTAAGTACATATTGGTTAGAGTAATAGTATTATATCAAAAAAATAAATAAATAATAAATTAACTTTGTTTATAGAGGATAACACTTGACAGTAATTCAACTGATAAACTTGTGGTCCTCTGTTAACGTCTCTAGTTAATTAGGGACGGGACCGCCATTAACGTGGTCATCCAAGCCACGCGAAAGTCTAACCATTTGCAGATGTAATTACAAAGGCAGCACCTTCTCCTCAGTTATTTTAAGACCCTGAGTGTTGGTCCGGCCGAGGCTTGAACAACGACCTCCCGCACAACAGACCGACGCTCTTACCAACTGAGCTAACCGGGTGGCGGTCATAGTCATGAACATAACTTAATTTAATGCAGTATTAATAATTCTGTACTTTTTATTTATAAATGAATCCTCTTTATAATTCAAAACTTATTGTCCTTTCAATTTTGTTTGGTGAATGCCTGTCCTTATACATCAATTTTTTTATCGGTTTTCATTACCTCTGAAGGCTAACATTATTTCCCCTTGATTACAGACGCACTACAGGAGTATCGATAACAATGCTGCCCCGTTCGATACCACTTTCTACCTCGACTTAAAACATGTCAATGGAAAACAGGTAAAACACTGAATAGTAATAAGACTAAAGAAGATGGCGTTGGTGGAACGGCAAAGGTTGATACGTAAACGCAGCGCATTCACAACTAGCWAAATAGATGGCAGCCATATTGGATGACAAGAACGATAAAATTCACTTCAAGCAATCATGTTGTCATCCAACATGGCTGTCAGTGAAAAGATTCGACAAATCAGAATGGGATTAACAGTGGATTCAGCAGAGTGGCTCTTCTTCCACTGGATTCCAATTATAATTTATCAGTTGATTTGATTTTGAGAGGGAGGAAAAACGGAGAACGCAGATGGAGAAAAAGCACAGGAGAGAACCAACAAACGACTACTCACATACGACACCAAGCTCAGCGGGACTCGAACCCGGGTCGCATTGGTGAGAGGCGAGCGCTCTCATTGCTACTGAAGCCACCCGTGCTTCCATATTCATTTGTCTTCTCTTGAACATCCGTTAAATAAAGGAATTATACTCTAGGGAATGACACATTGTCTGAAATGGGAAAACCTAACGCCAAAGGCTAAGAGGTGTATTCAACTTTCAATCTTGATATTTCAGTCTTATGACCATAATTGGCACGTGCATGATAATGCAGTGGGTGATGACATGAACAAAGCCATGAATGACGGCAGATGTGAAAGCCTTGGACCTCATTACAATCCATTTAGTGTTTTCGTAGAGGTAAGTGACGTCGAATGAATAACACAGGGATCCCATCCATACATTTCTGTCTAACGTGGAAACACAAGTTTATTCATTGTTTTTGTGTTTAGGGGAACTACAAGACAACCTGTACGTCGAACAATCCTCTTCGTTGTGAACTCGGAGACACGTCGGCTAAGACTGCGACTTACAATCTTGGTTCTGGCCCGCGTTTCTATACAGATGTGGACACGCCTTTGTTTGGTGAACATTCAGGTAACTGAAGCGAGTCACTAGTCTTGATTACGGTCACTAAGAATCACTTACACGGTACGGTCACTCAGA